TATCGTTGATTTTCCGATCTGGCATTCTATGGCTCCAACTGGGTGGCATTCTTTGTATGGACTGCTGTATGGGGTAAGATCCTGACGATTGATAATTTAAGGAAAAGAGGCAACTGTTTCGTTAACTGGTGTTGCCTATGCAAACAAGATGGTGAGTCAGTTGACCATATTCTCATGCATTGTCCAGCGGCGAGCGACTGTTGGAATCTTATTTTTGGCCTGTTTGGTATGCGTTGGGTTATGCCTCGTTATCCTAAGGATTTGATTCATGTTTGGAGAGGATGCCGCGTGAGAAGTGATGTTCACGATTACTGGAGAATTGTACCACATTGTGTTTGGTGGTGCATATGAAAGGAGAGGAATAGTAGAATGTTCCAAGGAAAAGAGTCGTCTACGGCGATTCTGAAACTTCACATCATTCGCTCTCTTTTCAGTTACGTGAAGAGGAAGTCATGTTCCTCTTCAAATGATTTAATCATTTTTTTGGATTCTATGGGGCCTTAAACCCCGGTTCCACTTTTGTAAAAGGGATGCGTTCCCCTCTTGAACGCCTATTTATATTCAATTATTACTTATCAAAAAAAAGTTGTACGTGGTGCAGTAAGTATTCCAGCAAATTTAATTTTCGTGAATATTTTGGTCAGAACTGAAGCTTCTTGGATTTGACAAATAATGGATTTCACATGCATGACTTGATTTGGGATGGGTTCATGATTTATCTTCAAGCAAGCTTTGGAGATTTCACAGCTCTGAATGTTTGTTCAAAGTTATTCTTTGTCAGTAACAGAAGCTTATTGTGCTTTGATCAAGCAAGGAAAAGAAGAAAGAAAGGATGGAAGGCTTTACTCGGGTTCTTATTTGATCGTGGTAAACTGCTTCAAACTCGAGAGTGAGTTTTCTTCAAGGAGGAGGGTCTGATGCAAGTCATTAAGGGTACTTTAGTCAGGATTGAGGCAGTCAATGGTGCCTTGGAAAATGCCTTGAAGAAAAGTCAAAGAGTCCTTGTTTTACTAAGATTTGGAATTACCAAGTATACTTAGGAAAGTGGTAACGTCTTATTAATGTTGTGTGGGAATTCAAAGAGTCATTCTAAATAGTCCAAAAGTCAGTCTAGAGAATTGAAGAGTCATTAATAGTCTTATTATAAAAGGGACGGCCTCCTATAACTGCTGTAATCAAGTCATAATCAATATCAATTTGAGTTATTATCAGTTTATAAACAGTTCTTTAGGCTTTTCCCAGATTTCCCTTTAGAAATCTAGGTTCCGACGGTGATTGGAGTATTCTAGTCTTCCTTACTGTTGTAAGAAGACTTGTGTTCATTTCTGTTTGCTTCAAAATGCATAAAAATGAAAATTCATGAAATTGTCCAGTTGGGTGCTAAAAGAAGCAACGTGAAATAGATTAAACAAACTTAATGTGGAATTGGATGACTGTACGAATTAAACGAGTATAAGAAGTTCCTAGGATAATCAAAAGGAAAAGAACCATTATCCAAGGAAACTTGGTAGTGGAAGAAACAAGTCCAAACCATTATAAAAACAAAAAAAGGAATGTTATAAACTTCGGCAAAAAACTAGAAATAGAGAAACCTTTGAAAAATACAAAGATGCCAAAAAGGCAGTTAAAAAAGTAATGAGAGAAGCTAAATAAAAAGCATATGGTGATCTCTATTCTAAATTAAGTACAAAAGATGGGGAAAATATTTATATAAACTTGCTAAACTAAGAAACTTATCAAAAAATAAAAAATAAACTTGCTAAACTAAGAGGAAAACTAGAAATATTAATCATGCTAAATGTATCAAGAGTGAAAATTCAAGGGTTTTTAGTAAAAGATGAAGAAATAAAGAAAGATGGAAAAGTTATTATAAGAAATTATTAAATGAAAGACTCTAGGAAGTTTAGGTTTAGATGAATATGGTAACCTTGCTTATAAAAAAAAATGGAAACATTAGGTAGAACAGAGAGAACCTACTTTTCCGTAGGATTAGGGAAACGCTCAAGGAAGAGTAAATCAGGAAAGAATTTAGGACTAGATGGCATTTCTATCGAGATTTGGAAGTGTTCAGGGGATGATGGTGTATCTTGTCTAACAAAATTGTGTACTAAGATAATCACAACTAAGAAAACTATAGAGTACTGCAAGTGTATTTAGTATCTATATATAAAAATAAAGGGGATATACATAGTTGTACTAATTATTGGAATTAAATGAGGAGTCTATTATGAAACCTTGGGAGAGTAATTAAAAAACAATTAACACAAGAAACTAAGTGTCAAAAGTCAACTTGGATCTATGTGGTGGAGGTTAACAACAGAGGCTATTTACAAATTGAGGAGACCAACAATTTTTTTTTTTTTCTTTTTTTATAGTAAAATTCATTAAGAGACGTTCAAAAAGGGAGTGCATCCCACAAAACAACGAAGGGCCAAGGTAGCACACTAACTGCTATAGATTCCATAAAATCAAGGGTAAAATGCAAGAAACCCCCCTGAACTATTGGGGATTTTTAAGAAACGCCCCTGAACTACAAACAACCCCCCTGAACTGTTGTTTTGTTGCAGTTTACCCCATTAAGTCACCGAAAAAAGCAAAAGGCCATTTTGCCCTTACTATAAAACGGCACAGTTTTAAAACTTGTAATCTTAAGTTGTTGACGTGGCAAATAAGATCTCACCAACCAATGGATATTCAACAACACAGCAACCTTTATCTCCTTTTTTTTTCTTTCCGAAAAGTCACCTTAACTCTTTTCCCGACCGAGTTTTCTCCTCCTTTCTCATTCACGCCACAACTCCAAAATTGTTGGAGCTGATGCAAAAATTGGCTTTGGAGAGGACGATCATGGCACCAACAGAGAAGCATAGGTCGCCGAAAGGGCGAGGAAGAACAAAGACGAGGATAGCCAAGGTAGTTTGCGATGAAGACACTGGCGAAGGTTTTGGATTGGTGGATTGGGGGGAATTTTCGATTTCATGAGATCATTAGCGTCATTTTCTGTAATATATATAGAGATATATATATATATATACATATACATATACTCATTCTCTGTAATATATATACACACACACACACACACACAGATATATAGGAGTATATAGAGATGAGTGATTGATTATTTTTATTTTTATTTTTATTTTTATTTTTATTTTTTTGTCTTAAACCGATTATGGAATTGGGAGATTTTGGAACAAATGGGAATTAGAAACCAGACAACGTGAGGATTGCTTGGTTTGAGAAATATAAGATTGGAGTTTCAATTGTGGAGATTGGGATCAATGGGACCTGATGATTTTGAGGGTTCTTCGGAAAATCAGAGTTCGATATAATTGCAAGATTCTATATATAGATCAATATATATATACGGATTTTTTGAAGAAAGGTCTATATATAAAACGAATATATATAGATATAATTGCAAGAACAAACAGTTCCTAAGGAAATTGAGTCAGATTCTATATTTAGAACAACATGTATAAACGGATTTTTGGGAAGAAATGCTTATATATAGAATGAATATATATATATATATATATATATAGAGAGAGAGAGAGAGAGGTACAAGTAAGATGATGAGGAAGAGAGGCTGTTTGGCAGCAAGGTGAAATGGGGATTTTGGGAAATTAGATTAGGAGGTGTTTGGGTGTAACAATTAAAAGAAGGGCATTAAAGTATTTTCATTTTTATAAGGGCGTTATGGTCATTTAATGTAATATTTTGTGTCACGTGACAAGCATGCGCTCATGTATGGACGGCCGGTTGCCGGATGGGGTAAACTGCAAAAAAATATATAGTTTAGAAGGGTGTTTTGTAGTTTATATAGTTCAGGGGGGTTTCTTGCAGATACCCTAAAATCAACTATATCCCCAACAGATTTACAACTAGACCCCTGGACCCAAAAGAAAAAAGAACTAAGAATAGAGAACTTCAACAACCATATCGGAAGGTCCTCCCCATCGAAAGTCCTCTTATTCCGCTCCCGCCAAAGGCTCCACCAAAGGCAGAGAAGTGCCACCTTCCAACCATATCACCCAAGGCAAATAAGTGTATGACGGAATCATGGAAGTGTGGATACATTGACACTCTGTTACATGGACTCTTCAAAAGTAGTGAAGTACCCGTGTCAGACACGTATCCCTCGGACATAGGTATGGGATATGTGTCCGACACTTTTGGTTGGACATGTATTTAAAAAACATATCTGATCATTCAATTACATTATATTATTACTTTAGAATGAGTTAAATGCCTATATTGAACACTATATTAGATAAAAACATTACTTTACTCTAGAAAATAAAATAAAATAAATATTTAGCAGTGTCCATGTGTCTTGTTTGGAGGTTTGACACGTTCGACGCATGGATAAATACCCGTGTTTGACACCCGTACCCGAGTCCATGTAACGTAACATTGACGCAATAAAGACCATGTATGATGGAAGCATGGCTACAATTAGAAAGACCGTGGGAAACATATCACCTAAGGAAAATAAGTGTCATCCTTCATATCTCTTTCTTCTTTTGCACAACCCCCCAGCATCTCTAACCAATGTAAGGCATCAGCTAGTGTATCCCAGAGAGAGAGAGAGGGCGAGAGAAGAAAAACAAAGATGAAATGGTCAAAATGCCTTCAAGCCTGCAGTGCAAGCAAAATGTCATCTTAGATCAGACATTTTGACCATTTCATCTTTTGCTTGTGATGCAAAGACAATTTATCAGGTTTACTTTTCTGAAAAAGTAATACGTCGAGATATAAATCTAAGATTGCAACTATAAACAAAAAGTTGCTTTCCGAAAACAGATAGGCAGTGAATTTCAAGACTTATGGCACAAAAGAAAATTATCAGTTCAGAAATAAAACAAAATTTATTTCCTTTTCAGGATTAAATCAATATACCACTCTTCTGCAATATACTACAGATGTTTTGTGCAAGAATCGAAATATGGATATAAACTTCAAGGAGCTCAATTTATAGAATAGAAATATCATACCTCAACAACAAGTTTAAGCCCATCCAAATAGCGTCCGGTTCTCACGTCAACCGTTGACGGAAAAGTTGAATCATCCGCACCATGAGAAATTGTGAGGAGTAGCTGACAAACATGACAAGGCTCACCAAGATAGATAAAAAGTTCAACTACATCTGCAGCCTGGGGGCAAATCTGCAGGGTGAACAATGCACATAAGTAATGACTAGAATAAAACTCAAACAATTGACGCCAAATTTTCAGTACAAACAATAAATGAAAGAATTTAACAAGGAAAGACCATTTTTCAGCTTGTGATGCAAAGACAGATTGTAAGTACCCATATTAGGTCTTTTCTCTTAAAACTGAGAAGACTGGCTCCATCATCAGAACTTGTAAACATATTGGGAACTGGCTTAAGAAGGCAAGCAGATGGCCGAGAGAGTACCTGCAATGATCCACACGAGTTTTCACATAACGCTACACTAAAGAACAGAAACAACTAAAATTGGATAGAATTGGTATCTGACTCAGAATTTTCTTCTTCAAGACAAAAATGATACTGTTAAAAGAACAATAATTTGCTCACTTACCACAACACACGTAATAAATTAATAACCAGTCTGCATAGGATCTCTGCCATAGTTTTAATTTGGGGTCTTTTTTTCCAAATTATGTCAAATTGTATGTGAAATACAATGCAGAGTAGTTTTCAAATAATATTTAGAGAACTACATAATTTTTGTTCGTAGTGTCTTATCCTAACACGGTCAATCCGAAGACCGAATAAAGAGCATGGTCAGGTTGGGTATCTTAAACCAGTGTAGAAACGTTGTCAAACCCATCATGGACATTAAATTTTAATAATATTTAAGAAAATATTTGTGTAAGTATTGTTAATGTGGACATTCCTTTTAAGCATCATAATAAATCTTTATCCTGGTGCAACAAAAAATAGGTAAGAAGAACCATATTTGCGCCGGATGTAATGAAAAATGTGCAAGGATTCACATACTTTTCAAGATGAGTAGATAATTAAAGTAATCCAAGAAAGTATGCTTCTTTTATAATCACCATCATCCTTGAATTTTATCCCATGTGAATGGGACCAGCCACATGAGTTCTCTCTTTCCATTACAAGTCATATATCCTATTATATTTAATTAATTAAAATATTTTCTAATTACTGTATCTCATGTTAATTTTGGTCAGCCTCCTTGTCTCTTACCTTTATAAAAACCTTCTTCTTACTAGTGCAAGTCTATGCATCTTTAGGTCTACAGTATAAATGACCATACCACCTAAACTCATTGACAGCACTCCTACTATTTCCCTCACAGGTTGATTATTGATTCTCTCTTTTCATTACTCCTATCATCTATTTCAACACTCCTATTTTAGCTACGTGGATGCGTAGTTCCTGTTTTTTTTTCTTAACGTCCAACATTCCGCCCAGATGCATCAAGCACGAAAGAAGCTTAGAACAATGAATGTATGATCCTTTTGGCTGATGTGATAAGAGTACGAGAAAAACATACATGTAAAGGTTGAACTGAAACTGATGGAAGATGCCTGAAGAGCCTCAATCCAAGGAACATCTCTAACTGCTTCTGACGAGAGCTATCTACAACTGCATTCTTATACCTTCTCTGTAAAGTAATTTTCATATTCTGCGCTGCAGAAAACTGTTTAAACTTGCCTGCTTCCTCACTAAATATGCTAAGAATTTGGCTGTGCATTGCTTTAGAACCAGTATATAATGTTGCATGTATATCTCCAGCAAGCAGAAAAATATCAGCTAGTTGAGAAATTGGTGATAAAATCGTTGATCTCTTAAACTCTTCAAATGTCATATCAAACCTCTTCCAAGGTTTATCTGGACAGGGATGATTCCAAGTTGTAGTCCTAGTGTTGTGATCAATATAATATGTTTTCCCAGTTACAGCATCAGACCGTTTCTCCCAACCTGGTGGCAGTGGAGCAGTATATCCACCATAATTATTTGTTGACTGATAACCAAATGCAAAATCACTATCAAGTGATATTCCTAGCCGTCTACATTGCTCTACAAAAACTTGAAGGGCACCAAAAAAACTAGCAGCATTGGTTCTATCCAAAGAGTCAGCACAATTAAAACGTATCACTCCATTTTGATGTGATCTTAAGCAGAAGGCACCTTCAAAGTCATCATTATAGATGATTTCCCCTCTGCAATCCTTTATTCGCTGACGTGAGGGCAGATAGTCCCCTTCAGAAATGCCTATAGCTACTGTGGGAGCTTTTAAAAGATACCACAATCCTTCAATTGTTTGCTGTTCACCTTTCAATTTTATGCTGGCATGCCAATCATAATTTATTAAATGAACGCGAGTATGAGGAAGTTTTCCGGTTGATCTGATATAGTTCAGGGATTCCTCAAAATGCTGAACTAAAATGGATTCTGATTTTCCTTCTCCATTTCTAAGCAAGTTGATGCACACGATTGGAACCAAAGCAGCTTTTTTCTGATTCCCACCAACGGCGACATCTAGGTTTCGTGCATCATATCTCTTACTCAACCTCTGATAGTACTGTGCACTTCCTTTATAAGGATCACGGTCAGAAACATATATTTCTGCTTCTGCAGCCGTGATCTTTAATTCTGCACCCCACCAGATAGGAATGGTGCCCCGTCGCCAGATGTATGTGTTGAAAGGAACACTTGGGCCTGTCCTTTTGGGAACCCATACAAGTTGCTCGCATTCAACTTCATTGCCTGTCAAATGTAGAGTTTTAAAGTTCTGAGAAATCCAATTGACAGTCATAAACTAAATTAGACGCATGGAAGGAAATAAAAGCAAAGATTGACAGATAGTAAAATTATATTGCAGTTAATTTACTGTGGAGGAAAAAAGACATTATATTTCAGTTGACAACATAAAACTTAACTGTAAATCATGAAGTAACCAAGCAGGAGTGATTATCCAAACACAGAGGTCAAATTGAGGTGAAAAGCATGACCTAAATATAATAAGGGTCAAGATAAGAACTGTTGGAGAATAATTATACGAGTGATTTAAGCCCTTAAATCACTCCTTGACAGAATGTTATGTTGCTATACTTGGGCAACAAGTTGTTGCTATAATTATATTTGACTTTCTGTGTAATTTCTTTATTACAAGTCTTCCCCAATTCACCTATAAATAGAGGTGTTTATTGTAAACAAAATCGAGAGAGAAAGTAATGAAAGAGATGTAGTCCTCTGGGCTTTGTGTGTCGTGGATGTAAGCCCAACAACGTACATTCTTGTGTTCTTCATGTTTTAATTTCTCTCTTCAACTTTTTTATATCTTTCAACAAGAACCGGTCAAACTGATATATGCATCATCACACAGAACAAGAAGAGAAAGAAAACACTTCTCCAGGTTTATCAATCTCCTGTAGTGGCATGAATTCATCATAAAGATTTGACATAATATTTTACAGGCAACTGTCAACCTGACACAAATTTTGCATCCAGCCTTGGGTACCTCTAATGGGAGAGTCAAAAACCATTTGAAGCACTTATATATGTATATTAATTGAGAATTAGTGTAACTATAACTAAAACCAAGCAGCAATTAGATGAGAAGTATGTTAAAAAATAAGCTATATATCTGCAAAGAGTCCATAAGCATTACACTGAACAATCTATAAATTACAAAAAAGAAGCAACATATTTTTAAGTTAACAAATGATATGCTACCTGTGCTAAAGCATGAATTTAAGCCCCTTGCCAAGTATCGAGTACCAGGATGCAGCCTGCTACGACGAGCTGTGAGAGCAACTACTCCTTCTTGCTGACCTAAGCTCCCAAAATTTCTACACTCTACAAACCCCTATAAATTGATATGGAATGAGTAAATATTATGAGCATGATAATTTTATTCTCAACATAATAACAGCATTAGTAAATAAGACGCCAATGCCATTTATATAAATGGTTGTAAGCAGGATATCTGCGGTAATTCAGTGTTAAAAGAAACCGTTATTTAAGGTCAAATAGATAATAAAGGTACTATATTTAAGAATGGGGCCAAATAGACAATAAGTCCAAGAGAAATAATTTAACAATGAGAAAATCACTTGTCTACAAAATTCTATAGGACAATTAATAGAAATACATTTATGGAAGATAAAGATAACAACAGAATACGACCTTACTTATAAAATTTGTCTTAAATTAGGTGACAGTGACTTGTTAAAAGAAGAAAATAAATTAGGATGGGAAGAATATAACATGAAAATCTTTTATAAGCCACTGGATGGAAAAATATATATATATAGAAAAAGGAAGAAGAAGAGAAAGAGAGGGAGTGGCTCTCTAGCAAATATTTGCAGAAAGAAAACATTTATATCCTGAGAGTGACACTTTCAAACAATATTGGAGGGCTACGCCGCTTTGTATCTGGTGGTGTATTTGGCTTGAGAGAAATAGGAGATATTTTGATGGAAAAAAGAAGCCTATTTCTATGCTTAAGTTCTCTGTTATTTCTACTCTTTTTTGTTGGGTTTCAGGGAGAGATTATAGATCTATGGAGGAAATTATTGTTTGCTTGGCCTCTCTGAAGGTCTAAGGCACCCTTTGGCCCTTTTGTTTCTTTGGGCTTCGCTCCCCTTTTGAGCGTTTTTAATAAATTCTTACTTATCAAAAAAAAAAAATATTGTGAGCGCCAAGGGTATTTGGGTAATTTGGATGACAACAAACTATTGTAGTGTAAATCTAATGAGTTTACTTGGTGTGTTAATTATCAAATTTCAAATTACCTCAAGTAATTCAAGTATCTTGAATTTATGAAGAAACTCAAATTCTAAGAACAATTGGGGGACTCCATTAAAGCAAATGATGAACCTCGAAGCTCAAAGATTTAAGATTGAGAGCAAAGTCTAAGATAGTCTTGAGTGAATTTTAGATTACATTGTAAAGTTATTTTTGAAGTAACTAAATTTGAAAGCTCAATCTTGACTTAGTAGACTCTAGGACCCTCAAATTTTATTTTATTTTTGATAAGTGACTCTAGGACCCTCAATTAAATTGATTCTGATCATTTAGAGGCCCCTAGACTCTTTGACTTAGGCCATGAACTCAATTGATCAATTTTATAAGGCCACGTTAAATTTGAAGAGATTCAAGCATGTTTTAGCCTTCAAAGATTTCTAAATTCATATTTTAATTTAATCAGTTGACTGAATTTGCTAAACTTGGTTCAGATCTCTAAGCTTTATGGATAAGTCGACCAATTGTATAAGGTCAGTTGACTAATCACTTAAGTGTGCAATTCAAATTGATTCCAAGTGAATTAGTCGACTAAGTGTTTATATAAATCAACTTAAAGTACTCCAGTGTACTAGTAAACTAATTTCAATTAAATCAGTCGACTAAATCTAAGAGTCAGTCGACTGAAAGTAGTCTAGTGTGCTCAAGCCTTTTTGGACATAAACGTTCAGTTGACCAACTTGTTGAGTTAGTCAACTAAAATTTGAAAGTCAGTCAAGTGAATGTGTTATTTAAAATTTCTAATAGCTAGTTCAACTATCCTTTCGCGCGTTAAATGCACCAAACTGCCATATTTCTTAGAAGGACCATACATACTCAATGTTTTGAACATCTATGTGTATCAACTACCATTTGAACTTGAACTTGAACTTGAATATCATTCACTGAGATTAACCATTTGAACCCTAGATTTGAACTTTCAACTTACTTCTTCATATATAAGTATATAATCGGAGCTTGTATTGGCATATTCATTCTTTAAGAGAGTTGTTGTTGTACCTACAACTTACATCCTTCATTTATTGAGATTGTAAAGTGGGTGGGTGTAACCCTTGTATTCAAAGTGAAGGAAATTTCACTTTGGGAGAAAGAGATCTATAAAGCTTCTTTGTAAAAGGTTTATTCTCCACCTTGAAGGAGAAGACTAGTGGATTTGGGAATCCTCAAGAGCGCTATCTTGAGACGTGGATGTAGCCGAGGGCGCCGAACCACGTTAACATCCTTGTGTTTGATTCTCTCTCCCCATCCCTTTACATTTACTCGTCATTATTCATTTACATATTATTATCATACATCACTTATCTTTTGCATAAATCATACATTTGAAATAGTTTTAAAAGTTTGACAAAGACTCGATTCACCCCCCTTTTGGGCCATTACTTGGGTAACAAGTACATAATTGCTTCGATAAAATTAAGAAACAAACTATAAAAGATGCATAATAAGCCAATATAAACACAAGTTTTCAGATAAAGGGAACCACTGTTAAAATAAATTTGTTCTCTAGGGACAAATTGGGGTGACAGAATTGAGATTCCAAACTATGAACATGACTTATCTCCTTTCACAGTAATTTTCCATTAAAATGGGCTTGCAAAATAATTTTGCAGAAACTGAAACACAACCTCACTGTAGCAAATCTAACCCAACTCATTCTCTACAAATTTGAGATGGATATATGCAAAATTACAGGCACTTCTACCTGCACTCAAGTGGGCATAGTGTGACTTGAGCAATCATCACCTGACAACTATTACTCTTGAACCAGTGGTCAACAAAGAGAATATCTTGTTTTGTAATGAGTTCAATATATTCACTTTTCTTAGACCTCTCCATAATGTCAATGCCATATTCAAAGTAAATATTTAAATCCGTTTTGCATATTTCTGTGACAAATGTAGAAACCATCTCTTTACCATATTACCTTGTACATTTTTTCTTTTTGGAAGTTAAAGCAATTAACGCGCACACCCTACCTCCACCGACGTTCGAACCCCCGACCTCCCCTTTGGGGAGGAAGGGGTGATACCGCTGGGCCACTTGGTCCTTTGGTATATTATCTTGTACATGCCGAACACTTTGATATGATGACTTCTCACCCAACAATATCATAAGTACGCACACAAACATGCATATAGGAAGTAGGCACATATGATGATAAGAGCAATCAAATAGCAAATCAGTATTGTTCTAACATTATGCAATACATAAAGCACTTTACAATCATTTGTATAGAAGGTAAACTTGCTGGCCAAAAATCTGGAAAGAAAATAGTAACAAACCATCAAACATTCAGATAAGTGTCAATGTGAAAATATTAAGTCTAAACCAACCTGCATAAGAATGACACAATGCTGCGACAGCCCAATGTTTTTGAAGGGCATTGAAAACCACCAATTCCAAACAAATTCGTCATCAGGATTTTGCAAGGGCATACGGCTTGGAAAAGGCCGAGTGAGGTCCCTAGTTTCACAAAAATAATGCTTTCCATCAATATCAAGGTCAGTCAATTCTTGAACATTTCTTACTTCACCTTTACCCTGAGGTTGAGGATTTTGAAGTGAGATTTTAATCCACTGGCTCTCAGTCACTGTAAATACACACCCTCCACCAGGCAAATATGGAATGCTGGCAGTCAACTTTGTTGCAACAAGCAGTAACCCAAAACTCCCAAGGGCTGCATAACCCAATATTGCCCTGGCATATATTACACTCTTGCAAAGCCACTTTGATCCATTTGTTACATAATCTAGTGCTTCATTTTGGGAGTTGAAAACATCAAAACCCAGCTTTCCAGTATAGATGAGTGCTCCAGTAGTTGGATCAACAAAAATCACCTGAGTATCTGTTCTAGTAGACAAGCTGACAATAATATATACTTCACTGGTATCCAGTGTAACAACAACAACAGATGTATCCCTTAAACGATTGGCTGCACCGGACACTGGATAATCTGCATGAAAAGACAGGAAATAAGGAGAATATAGCAAAGTCAGATAGATAAGGCAAAAAAATGAAGATAACTGAACAACAAAAAAACAAACATGACAAAGAATAGAACCCAAATGCCAAAAAAGAATAAAATATTATGACTACATAATAAAATTGTTTTAACTGATCATTATTTATTGTATAATCCTTCAGCAAATGAATTTGAATCTGGAACTTCAGTTCTAATTTCTGATACGGTTCTGAAACTCGAGTCCTAATTTCTAATAACAGAGTTGTATTTCCTTCTTTAGTTGGATTATTTAGAAAACCTCAGGGGAGAGATGCTTGCTAGAGCCCTAAAGTTCCATAACAATTGTTTCAGATCTTTAAAAGTTCTAAGAATGATTGAAATCGGTTTGTTTTCACGGACTGAGATTTCCTAAAATCATAATACAATAATAACTATAGTTAACCTAAATCAAGTCTAATTCAATCCAACTTTAATGATCTAGATTAATTTTTTCTCTGTTACCTACTTGAGAATACTTTTATAATTCCAAAACCTAATTATAACATAACAATAATCCAATATGATAACAAGAATTAGAATATTATTTCATTAGTATGTTTATGTGAATAAGGTTAGGATTAGAAGAAAATAATACATATAACCTTGATTCATTATGCGGCAAACCTATGGATAACAAATGCTACTAACTAATAAAATGAAAACAAACTTAAATTCATATACACATAACTCTCATGGGTTAGTTCGGATTGGTTTGGTTTTTTCAACTAAAGTGCATCAATGGTAGAAAACTAAGAAGTCGCACGAAAAGTTTAATGAAAGATAACTTTCCATCAAGAAAAATTTATCTTCTTTAATTTCATTGCAGGTCATGGGAGGTTCCTCAAACAAGGGCAGTAGTATTCACCACCCTCAGAATGATAGATATCAGAAATGAAGAACTATTTAACTGTATAGTGGGTACGCAGGCAAAAATAATAATTTAAGTATAATTTCCCAATCAGCATGCTTCAAAAATATGGCCATGAAGAGAATCGGGCTTCAGAAAACCTAGAGTGTATAAACTCTTCAATGGTCTTTTCTATTTAGATCGAAAACACCTGTTTATATGAAATATACAGAAGTACAAATCATATAAGAGGAATAAAGAGAGAAGGTAGAGGAAGATAAAGGCTCAAAGTACCAAAAAATGAAAATGTTTAGGAATATTCACCACATTATCTGATGACATTAAAAGGGACATTGCGCTGGCTCGCCAAGCGCAAGGCTTGGAGAGAGATGGGCTGGAAAATCCTTTTTCGGAGGAGGAAGTGCTGAAGGCTTTAAAGAGTTGCAATGGTGATAAGGCTCCAGGTCCTGATGGTTTCACGATGAGATTTTTGTTGGAAAGCTGGGAGGTGGTCCGGTACGAGATTATGGGCACTTTTCATGAGTTCCATTCCACGGGGCGATTTGAGAAATCGCTTAACGCATCTTTTATTGCCCTTATTCCTAAAAACGGTGGTGCTTCTAATATCAAGGATTTTAGACCCATTAGTATGATCGGGTGCATTTACAAGATCATTGAAAAAGTCCTTGCCTTTAGATTGAGGGAGGTCCTGGATGGAGTTATCTCTGAGTCTCAGAATGCTTTCGTGGGGGATAGACAGATTCTGGATTCCGCTCTTATTGCTAGCGAATGTGTGGATTCTAGACTTCGTAGTGGGACTCCTGGTGTTCTGTGCAAGCTGGATATTGAGAAAGCCTATGATCATGTTTGCTGGAATTTCCTGTTCTATCTGTTGGAGAGGATGGGTTTTGGTGAGAGATGGAGGAAGTGGATTGTTTCTTGTGTTTCCACTGTCAGGTTTTCGGTGTTGGTGAATGGCTCTCCTTCGGGGTTCTTTGGCAGTTCTCGTGGGTTGAGACAGGGGGATCCTCTCTCCCCTTTTCTTTTTATTATTGTTATGGAGGCCCTTAGCAGGCTGATGAGAAGGGCGGTGGATTTGGGTTTTCTTAGGGGTTTCAAGATTGGCCCTGAATCAGTTCAGCAGTTGGAGATCTCTCATTTACTTTTTGCGGATGACACTATTGTTTTTTGTGAGGCTGATGTATCCCAGTTGAGGTATCTGAGATGTGTTTTGGTTTGTTTCCAGGCTGTTTCTGGTTTGAAAGTTAACGTGGGAAAGAGTGTGATTGTTCCTGTGGGGGAGGTTCAGGAGGTGGACACTCTGGTTGCTGTTCTAGGGTGTGGGACGCAACGCTTTCCCATCTCGTACTTGGGTTTGCCGCTGGGGGACTCGGCTAGGAGGGTGGGAAGTTGGAACCCGGTGATTGAGCGGGTCGAGAGAAGATTAGCGGGTTGGAAAAAACAATATCTGTCAAAGGGCGGTAAAGTTACGTTAGTGAAGAGCACTTTGTCAAGCCTTCCAACGTACTTTCTTTCGCTTTTTCGTATTCCAGCCTCTATTGTTGGAAGACTAGAAATGCTCCAACGTAATTTCCTTTGGGGGGGTCGTGGAGAAGAGTTCAAGTATCATCTTGTCAAATGGGAATAGGTTTGCAGGCCTATTCGGTTGGGAGGGCTTGGAATTAGGAGATTGGCCCTTTTCAATTGTGCTCTTCTTGGTAAGTGGCTTTAGAGATTTGGTAAGCAAAGACATAGATTATGGAGAAGGGTTATCTCATGTCCCTTTGGGGAGGAGAGAGGAGGGTGGTCAGTTAGACCAGTCAGGTCTGTTAGCGGAGTGGGGGTGTGGAGGGCCATTGGTAAGGGGTGGGATGCCTTTTCCAAACATATTAGATTCAGAGTTCGGGATGGAAGATATGTCCGGTTTTGGGAGGATCCATGGTGTGATGATAGGCCTTTGGCCCTATTGTTTCCCAGGCTTTTCAGGATTGCTGTTGACAAACATGCTATGGTTGCTGACTACTATCGCCTTGATAGTGGAAGGTTGTCTTGGGATGTGCGTTTCCGGCGAGCTTTTCAGGATTGGGAGCTGGATGATGTCACTGGGTTTTTGGCTCTCCTTTACGGACAGGAGGTGGAGGGGTCTGGGGCAGATTCCTTGATTTGGGTGCCTTCTTCTCAAGGGATGTTCCAGGTCCGGTCCTTTTTTGTGTGCCTTTCTGGTTTTCATGGTACCTCATTCCCATGGAAGACGGTGTGGAGGTCTAAGGCGCCTCTTAGGGTGGCCTTTTTTGTGTGGACTGCAGCTTGGAGTAAGATTTTGACTTTGGACAATTTGAGGAAGCGAAGGCATATCATTGTTAATAGGTGTTGTCTTTGCAAGATTAATGGGGAGTCGGTGGATCATCTTTTGTTACACTGTCCTGTGGCTCATGATTGTTGGAGTTTGATGTTTGGCCTGTTTAGTATTCATTAGGTCATGCCTCGGTCATCTCGGGAGTTGTTAGATATGTGGAGGGGCCAATGGGTGGGGGTTCAGGCCAGAGTTTTTTGGAGGGTGACCCCTTTTTGTATTTGGTGGAGCCTTTGGAGAGAGCGTAATGGAAGATCTTTTGAGGGAAATTGGGGTGTTAAAATTTTCTATCATTTGTAATTTGTTTTGTTGGGGTCAGGGGAGAGACTACTCCTCTCTTGAGGATATTGTTGATTTTATAAGCTCTTTGAGTTCATAGGCTCCGTTTTGTCTTTGTATAGTTTGGGACGCGTTCCCCTTTTGAATGCTTTTAATACAATTTACTTATCAAAAAAAAAAAAAAAAAGCGCAAGCATACATAAAATTTTCCATATACCAATTCACACAATAATGAGAGCTTCAATCCTTTTGAACGTTACAGAGTAATTTATGGCTTCCATGTACTCATTCCCCATAATTCGTTTAACAATTATTATTCATAGATCAATGCACACTATACTATGTTCTTCAAGCCATAAAAAATGGCAGGATTGTTTAGGGTCATTCTTGAATTTTACTCCCTAATTTTCATTTTGGACTTTTGGACTTAAATTCAAATAAAAAAGATCAAACGAATCATAAACTGCTCGTAATTAAACCACTTGGAGGATGTATTGATTTGAGGATGACATAACGATTTGTTCTGTATAGCCTACACAACACACATGAGAATATAATCCTTTATTATTTTTTTCTTTTTACAAGCATAAGAACCTCTATATCTTCAAATTTAACTTCTGATTTCTTTGAAAAGAAAACAATAATACAAGGATCTCACCAGGCGATTCCATATTCCCACTATAAACCGAGTTAGGTGCCCTTGAGAGCCTTAAGGTTTATGACTCCTTATGGAGAGTGCCAACAGTCTGATGAAGTGCAAAAAAAGTAGAGAGTAAGTTGAAGTATAAAAATTATTATATATAATAAATATATAAATAAATTCACTAAGCAGTTTAGACTCCCGATTTCTCATGCAAAGTAACAGATAAAACAAAAAAAAAAAGGATGCTTATGAGCCTCATATCTATATCTACCATGCTACCTATCTAAAAGATTCAAATAATTCATTCTATTTGCAATACCAGAAGCCTTAGTCATTTCCCATTCTCAAAATCTATGAATTAAAAAGAGTTGTGTCCGGAAAGGCCAATTTTAGTTCCCCAATTTACACAGGAAATTAAATTAAAGAAACCAACTAAACAAACAAAAAGAAATGCATGAAGGTGGCAATGAAAAGCCACGAGAAAAGGAGGGGGGAAGGAACCATAAAGAAAAAAATGGAAGTCAACGAATAAGTTACATATTTACATCACATCATATGTACAACCAGGGAAGAAAAACACCATGCAGCAAAACGTAGAAACACATACACAAAGCTACACACTGGATAAATAAAACTAGAATGCATTATATAACCAATGCACAAAAAGTATGCACAAAGAAATAGTTTACAACAACAATAACCAAGCTTTTTCCCAATTACTTGGAGCCGGCTAGCACCAAAATATAGTTATGCTGTTTAAATTGATGGATCCTAAATTTCATGCTTTTTTATTTATACTGTGTGTGTGTGTAGTCATGCTACTAGCACATAATATACAAACATTTGATCCGCTGAAGCAACTTTTTATTTTAAAAAGATAAAAATATATATATAGTTGTAGTTATTTTTGATGTTATTGTGTTAGCCAGTACTCTTTGAGGAGCATCGGAAGCATTATTATCATATAAATAGATTTTGGATTCAAAAGAGTAGAATAAAACCCAAAATAGTGTATGTCATACTGGTTGTAATTAGAAAGTCAACTTTTTGTTGGTCCACAACAAAATAAGTCATGTTCCAATAAATGGGTCAATTCTTTAGTCTTTTCTTTTCTTTTCTTTTATTAGCTGTTACTGTCCATCCTTGACGTGGAACCAGCAAAATAAATTGGAAAAAACATTTAAAATATTTTAGTTTTTTTGCAAGTAAGATTTAATAAAAGGCGCTCACCTCTTGAGCGCTCTCAAAAAAAAACACAAGGCACAACCACTATAATTTCAAACCATCCACAAAATCCAAAAGATGCCCCATAGATTTACAATTACGCACATAAACCCAAAAGAATAAAGTAAATGGTATATTGCATTTGAGAGACCAAATAGGAGTTTCCTTTCCATCGAAGGATCTCCTATTTCTCTCGTGCCACATAATCCACCATAAACAAAGGGGAGTGGCCCTCCAAGCATCTCTGACTCGATTCTCCACTATTCACCTTCTTCAAGAACATATCCACCGTGGAACTGGGAGATACCCAAAACATGCCAAAGGCAACTAAGAAGTAAGAACATAGCCCAAATATTTTAAAGTATTTAATAATTTATGTCAGATCAACCTCAGAAATCCATGGGGAAAAATAACAATTTTCAAAATCCTACATATTTTTTAGAAATAAGGAATGACTCTATAGCCTGCATCTTGCTGTGGTGTTTCCCATTCTAGTAGGCATTCGGTCAACCTTGGTTCTAAATTTGGTGAAAATTTTGAACATAAAGAATCTTACTAACCCTTTGTAACAGAAGGATATAACAGCTTCATGATGCATTTGGGAATTTTCTTTATTAGTAATAACTGAAACTAGTTAGAGGAAATGTGAATAAAGATGGACTGATCATGAATCATGCCTCAACTAAAAAAAAAAAAGTACAATAATAATTCTATATCGATTAGAATCTGGGTCTTTTGTGAACCAGACCGGAAGGTGCTGGAGGGTATGTTTTGGGGTGAGATCAGTCGTTGTGATATTGTAACAGAGAGTGAAAGAAATAATAAAATAATAATAAAATAAAAAATAAAATAAAATAAAATATTATGGTCATTTTTATCTATTAAACATCAAATGGTGCGAAGGATATAATTTTTCTCAGAAAAACTTATCAAAAAAATATATATAATTTTTCTAAGAAAAACAATTCATCTTGTTCCACTGCACAGTACATAAACCTAGTTGTTAGAGGGGGACTTCAATCAACTGAACAATCAGTACCCAACAGAGATATTATAATATATATGCTCTGATTTGTACCATATTTAGTGAACACTGCCACCCACAAGAGGTCCTGCACATCAAAATCACTCTTAATTCTACAAAAAACATAAATCCAACATTCATACGATTACTTTTCTAAGATCTAAAAGCACTCGGAGCACCAAAGACAGAATCCAATCATGTGGAGAGAATTAAATCAGCAACAAAGACCCACAAAACAAAAACAAATCAACATAGCAGAAAATTTAGTAATTGCATAAACAACGTATAATTCAATGTTAAACATCCTGTAAAATCAGATAAATTCGTGATGCGATCACAGCTAGGCAGAGATTTCCAATCCCCAAGACAGTCCGCATACATATACATATACATATATAAATATAGAGAGACAGAGAGTGGAAATGCGAAAAGGAAGATTGAACTCACCGGAGGGTTGCATCACCGGCGAGAAGAAAGCATGTGAAGAAAATTCTATAGAGAGAGAGAGCTGCGAATGTGTGATCTAGCAAATTTGATTTGTACTCTTCTTAAAATCACCGTATAATTAACAGAGTAAAAAGATCACAACACCGGTTTAACCCGTTCAAAAAATGGATAGAAAAGCCCCATCGATAATTATTTTCCTGATCTATGATAATAAATATTTTTGTGTGTATATATATATATAAAATCACATTAGATACACATACTTATATAGACTTCAATGGAAGTTTTTAGGCGATAAAACTTGTGAGATTAGTGTAATAGAGGGTCAGATAGAGCACACAAATGAGAGGAAAGAGAGACGACGGTATCAAGAGGTTAGACGATTTGGTTGGATGTTAATATCCGTTTGGAAATGGGCTAAACCCATATTATGACCCTTCAACTTTTCTTCTTTTTATTTTTATTTTTTTTGTTTTTTTTGGGCAGGTCTTTATCAGTAAGACAAGTATTTTGTTCAAAGAAAATTGTGGAAAACTATTTGTGGAATAAATAAAAGAAAATGAGGACAAATGGACAATGTTAACTTCTTGACTTCGTTGGATTGCAATCATGTAAATGTAAATGTAAATGCATACTAGTATGTTAAAGTTGAGAGCTCATCATAACTTGTCAACTTAATTAACTCAATTTTTTTAATAATTATTAATTATTAGATATTGAGAGTTTATTATAACTTGTCAATTCAATTAACTCTATTAATTAATTAACTTGATTAACTCGATAATTATTAATTATCAAATTTGGAGGATCAACTCTTTTAAATTGATTTTAAATTTTTAATTAATCGTGTAACTTGAATCAACTCATAAAACATGACCAATTTTAACCTGTATAATAGGTAATATCTATCTGTATATATTATTATTCAAAGTGTAAAGAGTTTTAGTATTTATTTATTAATATATAATTTTTAATTGATATAAAAGGAAATAAAATAAAAGAGTTTATGTAAAACTATTAAAACAACTAAAAACAAGTTACGAATTAAAATAAATTAGGTAATTGTTTAATAAAATAATTTACCAAAATTATGTTTTATTTCAACTTTAGTAGTAATTTACTCGAATTGCATAGATTTTTTCTTTTGGATGACTCCATTTATTTTTAAAAAAACATCTTAATTTATTTTGATTGATCTGTTTAGTAAGTTATTTGTTTTATTAGAGGTACATTATTCTTTGAATTGCATTAAGCACTACTCATGTTGATTTTTTTTTTTTTTTTTTGTTTAATTATGTTTTATTCTTTGAATTGCATTAATCATATTGATTTTTTTTTATTTTATTTTATTATGTCATGTCACCATTTATTAACTAAATAAATAAGTTTTGTAATATTATATATTTTCTTCTCTATAAGTTTTTTAATAATATATATTTGTTTCTCTAATTATATACATATTATACAAATAATTACAACCCTTTAAACTTATAGTTTCACTCTTAAACTTTAATATTGACAACACATTTCGCTTCATAAATTGATATTTGAAATTTTAATCACTCAAACAAGTTAATAATCAGTTATTTGAAAAAGTGAATTTATTTTGGTAATTTTTATATAATTTTTTTAATTAGGATTATAAAATAACTTTTGATGACGTGTTTTACTAGTATATATAAATTGGCATGGTCCTTGGTTAGTTATATGATTTATTAATAGATAAAATGAAAATTTTATACATCATGTAATTTTTAATTCAAATGTTTTTTTTTTATAATTTGCATTTTATAGATAAAAATAATAATTGACAGGCCATGTCCGGGTTACAAATTATATAACTATTAAATATGTTACATTGGTTGTGTTGTGTTTTATATTAAATATAAACAAGTCATGTTCTTGTCCAAGGAGTCATATATATAAAAACAAAAAGGGCAATTCAAATAAAATAACTTCGGTCTACCATTCCACTCATAAATCATCAGTTTCCCAACACATCTGCCCGGGTATACAAAATGGGATTCCATCTTGTCGTTAAGGCTGGTGCTCTCAGTGGGATCCATCAAATTATTCCTATGCAATATCGCAAAATTTAGAGAGGGAGAGCTAAGTCAGATAAGGCAAGAGCATGAGAGCGACAAAATTAAGTCATAAGCAGTGAGAATTTGAGCGATCGCACAGAAGCGACATCTGTTCAGAGAGATTGTGTGACCTAGAGAGAGTACTATCAATAAGAATTACATATATTTAATTAATTTACTAACAAAACCAGTTGTGATCTATTTACATCTGAGGAACAAGCAACTGATACAAATGAGATTCCAGACTTGCTCTTAGTCCATTGGGCAGTGATTCGTTCGGAGGACGCTACTTTCCCTCCTATTAACTTCTGCTCTGTAGAATCGAGAGGCAGGATGGTATACGATTTTCAGCTGTGCAGAGCATCGAGTGTGATCTATGAAAACCCGAACGATGCTAAAGAAGAAATTGATCTCCCTAACGGTAACCATGTGGTCAGTCAAATTATTTGAACAATAACTCAGCGAAGGAGGTCTAGATGGGACTCATTGTTGTTGTTCCTCTCTCCATAGCAGTCGTATTTGTATCACTACACTACCTCGTTACTCGAGTGAAGATCTTAAAACCCCTACCTCTGATTTTCAACACTTAGTGTCGCCATTCCAACTATATTCCCAGTTAGTGCAAGATGGAATGTGAAATCCTCATTCCTTCTCTGCGATTACTACAAAAACATCCTTCACTGACCACATCCGTCTCTCGTTTTTGGCTGGGGGATTGATGACTGCTTTCTCTTCATTAGCTAGACGGTACCCGATCATGATCTCTCTCCTCTGTCGGGCACGTAGTAGTATTTCATAAAAACTCAGTTCCTCACCTTCATGGAGGTAGAGATCTGCTTGCCTTATATACATCTCATTGCCCTGGTAAAATCAAAAGATTTTTTTATGGCAACAGGCCCAAGGAAGAGTATTAAACAGAAACTGGAAATTGCAGTTAAAGTTCAAAAACCGTCAATAGGATGAGAATGTGGGCATAATAAGAACCAATGTTTCATTTTTTTTTTTTTTTTTTTTTTTTTTGATAAGGGCGAGGAGGGGAGGGGGAAAAATAAGAGCCTCTGAAGATGACTTTTAAGATACATCCGTTGCCCTTTCCAATATGCAGAACCTAATCCCTCAGGTGAAAATTCAATTTTCAGTTGTTTGAAATCCAGTAAAGGATTTCGAATTGGATTGATATAAACATTTAGGTTGCAATCAGCAGTTATGACCGACTCTGGGTCCATCATAAAGTTTCTACAAGGAAATGATTTAGTGCAATGAATATCTGAATCAACAACAAAAGAATTACCTCTTCTGCAAAAAGCTCTTCCAGTACATCATTTATTTGGCGGTCCTCTGCAACCATGGCCAATGCCATGCTGACAAGCTCATTTGATAGCACATAGTCGCTGATCCTTGACATAGATAATAGATTTTTCGTCCTTGGGTCCAGAATTTCACTGATGATAACAGATTTATCCGAAGCCTGCTGCATTTCCCCTATCCAAGAGCCTTGTGAGAAGCTGCCTCTGTGAACTTGGGAACCCATGGCTTCTCTGTATGGGAGGCGCTTTGCCTGCAAAAATGAAAGCCAGTGTCCATGTACGTGTTTTAAGCTGTATAACTGATCTAGTAGGTTGAGTTCATTGACAACGGGTAAGTAATACATTTTGTTCAAGTTCCATGATTCCATCTTATTTGGCCTCAAATGAGTCTACAGAAATTGAGAACCATCAAAGAATATTTTACTCTTCTTTTGAAAAAAACAAATTTCCAGGTAAAAAGGCACATCAAAATAGTGCATTAGAGCCACAAGTACATAGGGAAGAAAACTATATCACACATTATTATTTCTTGACACGAATGATGAAACTCCTAATCCACGTGCTCATGTTTTGAATTCGTGTATTATGCTTTGGAAACCTGACATTGTAGTATATATTTTGTACACATAATGTATAAATAAATATTCAATCAATTATATAATTGCTAAATATAATCAAACAAAATATAAACAAGTGAGTCATCAATAGACAAGCACTCTGCTGCTCTCAATGAATTTTAGATCTCAGCGCTCTCGCTCCCACTCTGTAATTTAGGTCAAAACTGACCCAAAAAAGTCATTGGCAACCTTTTCTACATCAAATAGTTAAGGTGGTTGATTTTGGAGAGAGAGATGACAAAAGAAACAGGAGAGCATACAAAAGCATTGGAAGCAAAGAAAGCTACACGACTTGAGTACTTGTAAAAAAAAGGTTCAAGTAATGATGGAAGCGGAAGACTGTGCCCCAATAAATGCACCCATATTGAGACAACAAATGCAACAGAAGTGAGTGCACAAAGATGCATAAGAAAATTATAATCCACAGCTTACTTATCAAAAAAAAAAAAAACAAAAAAAAAAAAAAACGATAACCCACAACTTGACAACTTGATTAAGAAGAGACGCAAGCTGCTATTACAGTAGCGAATATAAAAATCTAAATAATATGTTATTTTAATCTGATTACTGGATCCAACTTTCAGATCTGCTGTACAGCAAACAGCCTAAACCATGAACCCCATAACTAAAGTGCTAAAGAAGAAAATTCTACTGTTTAGTAACAAGGCAGGTAGGTAAACGATTCAAAAGTAGTCCCTGATCAAGTGCATTTAAATTGCCTTGTCACTGAGACCAAATACTTGTAAAAAAGCAGAAGATAATATATGGATAAAAAGAGAAAAGACAGAAGCAGTACCAAGAACAAGTTCTACAAAGGTTATATTGAAGGTCACCCTTCAAAGTAAGTACCTGAATATCACGAATCAATAGCAATGTTGCAAGAGATCTGGAATCAGCTTGAATGGCTGAATCTTCCACTGATTCATCAGCCAGAATTAAGATCTGTTCAGGCCAAAAAACAACATCAATGCATGCCTAACCCCATAAAGGAAGACAGATAACCTTTCCAAGCCCCACAAACAGCAGTTAAGATCTCCCACATCGAAAAACTAATTTAATTCGTGATAAAATGTGCTTATCTAATGCATTTTGGATGGTCGAAGAATGGTACTGGTAAGAAAAAGGTACATAATTCTAAAAGTATCATCCATGAATTTACTATTTCCCTTGCAGACCAAGTTGGTGGTGCCAATCCTTCCATGCAGACCGTGGATTGACCATCATTTTCAACAACATAAGGCAGTTACCACATGATACACCCTACAGAAGAAGACGCTTATCGCAATGATTTTGAATTTTATGCTACTTACTGAATCAAAAGATTCCAAGGGAAGGCTTTCCAGGTGACGCCGTATAACAGCATTTCCTTCACGATTAACTAGTGATATATTCACCAACCGGTCAATGTCGAGGCCACCATCAATAAGCTTCTTTTCCCTCTCCTTCTCGAGAACTTCATTGAACATCCACAACTCTGAACCAGACGCTAAGGAAGCATCCAATACCTAAGACAACACAGCAAAATAATATTGATATTGAAGTTGTAAAAATAAATACTTCATGTCTTCTGTTGCGGCACCAAGACAGATATATGGCGTGAAGGTTTTGGAAAATTTCAAGAGCACAGTAACAAGACTGCAAATTGATAGAACAGAAATTGTTTCCGACGTGTCAACCACCACATAGCGTATACTCAGAACTGCCCTGGCAGAAGTACTGGGAGCACAGTAAATTCCTTGCAACATTACCATAATCATATCTTCCATGTCTCTCCGCCAACCACAAAAAAGTATTCTTTCTGCAGACCTTGGAAAAATGGGGTCCTTGGGTAGATTTCCTCTCCACACCTGCAGCATTCAGGTGAAGGAAAGAATGAATTAGGGGCTTCAATAGATAATACTTACCACAATCATATCATCAATGTCCCGCCTCCATCCACAAAGTAGAATCTTCTGGGGCTTTCTTGCTGGTCGGGCAATGTGTATGAATGGTGCTTCTTTGACCTGAATGATCAAATTGATTATACTTATGTAAGTTTTATTCATGGTATGCCCCACTCATTTGGATGCCATGGTAGGAATCATTCCATGTGTTGTGCATGCTTATTATTCTAATCAATTTAATGGGCCAACCTCATCCTAGCACAAACTTTTACCTGACCAGTGATCAAGGGCCCTGGACATCAATTCACTCACATTTTTGAGGGGATGCTTTTGGCTACCACCATTCAGATTTTTCAAATAGTATTATGATTTCGATTTTCTGAGCTTTATGTCCTAGGCATGCAACTTAAAAGTGGTCTGTACTGTACTGTTTGTCTTGTTCTTACGAGTCTACCTTATGCCGGCACATAAATGTGATAATCATTAATTTGATTAAGATAATCCTTTTCAGTTTGGATGCTGAAGTAGGCAGATCAGTCATAAATCTAAAGATTGAGATTGGTAAGTGAAAGAAGAAAAAGAACCATAGACGCGCTCAATCAAAAGCATAATGCATGAAACTATTGCTTCAAATTGAAGCATCCCGAGACCTGTTGATCAAAGGCAAAATCTAATGCTGAAGACCAAATCAAGCCAAGCTATTCGGCATTTAATTCATTAATTCATTCATTCCCCTTATCTGTATGCTTTCAGTTTCGCATTAGTAAGCCAGAATATAGCTTGACTTGGCATAAGTTGCAATCTCAAAGGAAGAAATTACCTCACTTGAACCATAGAATTAATGAGAAAGAACATAGAAATAACCAAGCAATCTATTTGAAAATGTTATATTCTGAGGAAAGGGAAGCACCGTAGGCAATGTTGTTGGAGCATAGGTATCATCATCCTCCGCTATAACAAGAACTTCGTCACCTTCTTGTAGAACATAAGAATCATCAGGATTCAAAATAATTTTTCCACCACAGGAAGAAACCTTGACTCCACAAGGAATAGCATCTGGGAAGCTGATCAATACATCCTCGAATTGCATTCCATCCAACTGTGGCCATCTTTTGATGTAGAACTCACAATTTTCAAACCCAAGTATATCTTCCCAGATCTGCAATGACCCAGGAAGATAGAATTAACTATATGCCACTCAAAAAGTCGAGCATGATCTGAGACTGCAACTTATTTGCATCAGATATAATGTCAGTCAGTAAACCATATATCGTCTGAATAATCATAGGATAAATCAATTGTATACACTGAAATAAACATAGTGCTAATGTTGAAGGAATTACAGGAACTAGATTTACTAAAATGACCTGTGCAAGTCCTGGCTGCCGAGCACATTGAATCATCAGGCGGCCAATTACATCATGTGCTACAACTGTTTCAACAAGATCTCCGCCGACGAGTTTAACAAGGACCTCATTGTCAAGATCACTCAGTTCCACCACTATGTGGGCCCGTAGTCCTTCTTTCACTCCTGTGAGGCTTAGAACTGTTCTAAGTGCGCGGGCATCACTCTGTATCAAATCGGAAATAAGTTAAAAATTTCTACCAGAAAAAGGAAAAAAAGAAAGAAAGAAAATTAGGGAAAAAAAAAAACACACACACACACACAATATGTAATATCAAACATGGGATATATAAATTTCTGCATTGAGGTAACCTGGTCAGCATTCCCATCTTCAGCAAGGACAACTATTGCACGGGCCTTGGAGACAGAAACCTATAAAACCCCATGCGGTCAGCAAACCGAGACCAAATGATTTTGAAGTCAGAATACTATTATTCACCAATAAAAACTCTCCACAACGAGAAGCAACCTCTGCTTGTTGCAACATCTGCCCATAAGCACAAAGGATGGGCAGGAAAATGAACCAGGTTGAGAATCTTAAATGAGACTGATCTTGGTAAAATCTTATATTTTTTATTCTCCTTTGAAGGACAATAAATAAGCATTTGGAACAAAACAACCAAATTTATACCTCTCAAAAAATTAAGAAAATAAATCTAAATGAAAGGGCCTAAAAATAGACGATTTTTTTTTTAATAGAACAATACATGCTTCATGAAGTGGTGGTTCCCATAGAGAATATTTTTACTTTACAAGGAAAGCGTCATGTGCTTCTAGCAGTATTTAGTACATTTCAGTTTTGACACCTATAACATGAACTATTAAAATAGAAAAGTGGAAGAGTTGAAAGAGATAAAAGTGATTATAAATAAAAGTGACATAATTAAAGGGTTTTGGGTTTACTCAACAAAATCAACAAATCAATTCATTTGATTTCCGGTCTCAACCACAAATATTTCTATTGATCCAGGTTGCAAGATTGACCCTGAACAAGATGGTTTAGTTTATCAATTGATAAAAGAACATAACAATAGGGACAATTGGAATTGTGAAAACTCATATATTTCTTTGAGAAAAGAATACCTTTTTCAGGTCAGCTAAGATAAGAGGGCTTCCACTTCTGCATATGACAGATGTTCCTCTGAAATCAAACTCCATTTTAGAAATGTCAAGTTCCATCTCTTCCTTGTCCCGCTCAGCCATCACTACAACAGTACCGCCACCCAAACTCTCATTGGCTATAGCAAGTTGATTCAGTAGAGATCCCTGAGTTCCCAATAATAGTATCAGTGGATGGTAATACCAACTAATCCCCAAAAAAAACAAAAAAAAAATTTATGCGATGTTCTACTAAAATCTCACATTTCCAAGGGGAAGGTAATAGCTTCCAGCTGAATATAAATATCCTAATTTTGCAAAATATATATATATATATACAGATTGGTATAGGCTAGTTATTGTCTTCATCTATATTCCAATTTACTTCTTTTCCCTCTAAATGGCACTATCAGAAACCTATTTCCCTCCTAATCTGCATCTGTCTAGGTAATCATGACAGATTTACAAAGTATGTTACAACAAACACCATGAACCAAGAACAAACCAAGAAGCATAACAGGAAAGCAAACATGCCACACACAAATAACACAAAGATTTATGTGGTTCAGTGTAAGCCTACGTCCACATTGAAGATCTGGCTACAGATTGTACTATGCAAAAAAACAGGAGATTACAAGTTTCAGCCCAAAACCTACATCTCTCTCTCTCTCTTTCCTACGGTTTTCAGTGTTCTCTCGTTACACACCAGTGACACCACAAACCCTAAACACCCTTATATACCGAGTTAAAAGAGAATTCTAGAACTGGGACCACAACCCGCAAGAGAAAAAACGGGCCCATTTTTCAGTTCGAAATCGGGCCACAACGGGGCCCAGGCCGAAACCAAAAAATTTGGGCAATGACTTCACAATAACCATTACTCAACACTGTGGAAAGGTTCTGTTCACATAATTTGAAAACCGGTCCTAATTTACTTAATTTGACTACCCCGGTGAGGATTTAACACAAAAAAAAATATATCCATTTTAATATATTGTCTAATTGCACTATTATCTGCTATTAAAAGCCAATCCCTCTCTGTGTCTGTCCATATATGTTCCAGCTATTGCGACCACTGCCAATTACAGATCTGCAACGTGTGTACCTTTTAGCTAATCAAAGAGCAATGATAGTAGATCATCTTAAACCAACATGACTTCACATGTTTACCGTGGAAACCTACCAAATTTAACCTATCAGTGCATAACAATACCAGTTTTCTATTCATGTTGGTTTTACTTTCGGAAACCTACCAAATTTAAACTTTATCAGTGCATAAGGTTACCGGTCTCCTATTCGTGTAGGTACGTCTTTCATTTTTATTTTTTAACAAATCCACATTCTATTAGAGGTTCAATTCATTATTCCAATATTGCCTTACAGAAAAGGAGAAATCAGTAAAAGTGTTTTCAGTAAAAAATAGCGATCAGAGGTAGCTGCATTTGGATAGCATGTCCTCGTATTGCAGATCACTAGGGTAAAGCCTTTTGTGAGAAAACTAGTTTCACAAGTCAGGCTGCAGGCTGCCAAAAGGTAACCAAATGTTTGTCAAATCAGCCTCCCTGATATGCCTGTGTTAACAGTTATAGCCAATGCAGAAAGGAAACAAATAGCTTTTTCTACCCACTGGCCGACGACATTCAGTACCTTAACAATTTTATAAAGTATTAGGAAAAAAAAAATGAAAGAATAGTCGTAAATTAGTAATGATGCATGTGTTAGCCATGCATGCATGTGTGTGTCTGTTAGAGGTCGGCCGGTCGGGGATGACAGGTAATTGTGTGAGAACTGGATTGTAGAAACAACCATCTATCATCCAGATCATGTAGACAATCTAGTTTGGTCCTTGCAATCCACCACGTCTAAATTGAAAATGCCCATCAGGAAAAATACTTTAGGAGGATTTTATAAATGCTTTAATCAGTATACCATGAGATATTAGACATGGACTTCTGTTATCAACCTCGGGAGAAGCAACGGTAAAAAAACTTAAATATCAATAAGATGTGAAATCAGAACCTTACCAATTTATCACTCCACCCAAGGATTAGTGTGTGGTTTTGCTCAACCACCTCACTTCTTCCTTTCCTCAGTGAGTCGAACTTCTCAGAGATTGCATCAGAAACAAGTCCAAGCATCATTGCAAATATAAGCATCCCACCAAAACTAATGGAAACTGAAACTAGCCTTGGACCAATGCCTTCAGAGTTAGCATGGTTGCCTGAATCTGCAACGTATGTCCAAGATAACCATAGGCAGTCTGCTAAGCTATCATCTGTCACACCAAACAGTGCCAGTCCACCAAGACAAATCAGTAGCAGGGTTGCAACTAACAATGCCAATGGCTTAGCGTATGGGTTGACTGAAAAACTTGCATCTACCCAATAAGCTAACTGCTTACTTAAAGATATTTCTTCTGTGATTTTGTTTGGCGATCTTCTTAATTTGGAGACATGGTCAACATATTTGAAAAAAAGTAAAGGGATAGATAAAAGTGTGAGTGAAACAACTAGAGCCGACTTTTTCAAGATTTTGTTGGGAAGATGATCACTCTCTTGTGGACCCGAATCGGTAAAATCCACAGATTCCACCAAATTGCAATCATTTAATCTCATATTGAGTTTGGAAATCTGATCCTGCAATAGGAACACCGGTTCTATTTAGCAAGGTCTTACATGGTAAGAAATCCATAAATACTTCATTGTTGAAAAATTATACAGCCCTAACAAAACCAGTTGGCAACCAAACAGAACAAGATAGGAAAAATAAATAAATAAATAAATAACTAACAAATTACAAATTACAGAGAAATGTTTACAATCATCCGATTGAATCACCAGTTTATTCATCCTAACAAGTTTTGTGACGGAATCTGATGGTTAAACTGGTTGCTACCATGCCAAAGTCTGTTTTAGAACATGTGGCTCCATCAGTCAAAACAGAACCATGAAGTCAAATCTATATCTATCTATACTACAAGTGTGTAGACTTTTGATCCTTTATATACATATTTTATGCACCACCAAGCCATTGGCCTGGATTGTATCTCTCCTCCCCAAAGGAGAGGTTGAGAGTTCAAGCCCTAGGAGGGGCATTGTGCAATGCTTGAACTTTTGAAAAAACCTATAAATTTTTAATTCTTTTTTTTATATATAAATTACATTTAAAACCTCTATTTCCACTAAGATGACTCATGGACATCTAAAAACTCGATACATAAATGCATTAGCTTTCTATATGAACCTTTCACCTTTCTATGCCATGTACTTGAACTGCTAGAGGTTTCAAAAACTACAATCAAGTTTAATTTCCAACGGCAAGATTCTTGAATTTTGGTTCCTTATGCTCTATGTGAAGACCATGGATCAATTGCCTATACAAACTCGTGCAGTTCTTACTATCCGAATTAGTTTGTTGTACTCATTACAGGTTAGGTTATTCTATCTTATCCAAGAATCTACTAATTTTCTAAAGGAAAGACACTTTCCTTCCTTTGAAAATATTCAAAATTGTCAAAAGGTAAGACACGGACTAATTTTAGTTTATATTCACCAATGTTCAACTATACTTACTTTCATGCATTGACCTATTTTTTTTTATTTTCTTTCATTTTCTTCCTCTAGTAATTGATTTGATCTATCTCTGATTTAAATAAATAAATAGACACAATGATACTTTTAATCACGTGCATTGCATGTGAAGAATCTAACAATCTACTTAAGGGATTTTTCTTTATTGGTAACTTCAGGCTGTGGTTAAAATTGCTTATTATGAGGCTAGCTGAAAACACAGATTGTTGTTTCTGTATAAGTTTTCCTGGCCAAAATGACTACAACTACTCAAAATTCCATTCAATGTGAAGGTTAAAAAAATCCCCAAAACATCAATCATTCCAGTTTAATAAATGAAATGACTTCAAATTCATCCCCTGGCCGATGTTTTAGTCCACCAGCCTACCACACTAAACTCCATAAATTGGATTTCCTTTGTTTCCTTTGAGTTCCAACTCAAAATAACAAAAATGATGAAGCCTTATATCATGATTCGTGAACTAGAACTCAACAAGTACAAATACAAAAAAGCATTGCAAATCCGTTTATGCACTCACATATGTATCAACAAAGTAGAATTTGTGTTGCAAATACTTGAATTTAACTAAATTTGAGTTCTATTTTAAATTTGTGGAAAAGTGGAAAAGCTTAAATTCAAAATTAATCAGGATATGAAGTAGAAATTGTGTTGCAAATACTTGTATTTAATTAAAAAGGAGTTCTATTTTAAATTTGTGGAAAAGTGTAAAATCTTAAATTCAAAATTAATCAGGATATGAAGAAGAAATCGTGTTGCAAATACTTGTATTTAATTAAAAAGGAGTTCTATTTTAAATTTGTGGAAAGGTGTAAAATCTAAAATTCACAATTAATAAGGATCTAAAGTAGAATTCTTGTTGCAAATTCTAAAATTCACAATTAATCGCGATAATGGTAAAATTAAATAAAAGTTAAAGTCAACATCAAAAAAAAAAAAAGTGAAGCAAAGAAAGTCAAGCTGAGTTACCTGTAGATCAAAAACTTGGTTGTGTAAAGAAAAGTTCTTGTGGAGTAAAGAAGAGAACACTGTTATCAAAATCTGCAACCAAACACAAACTTACAAAACCAGACTTCTAACAAAGTTAAAGAGGAATTGCTTTAAAGAGAGAGAGAGTCAACTCACCGCAACAGAAAAGGCCATCTGCCACCGAAACTTCAACCGACCACCGACCAAACCGGTACATTTCTTCCCGACGGCCGTTTTATCCTCTGAAACCTCACATTTCTCCGAAACAGCGACCGGTCTTCGGCCGCCGGAATCGTCCGTGCTCGGAGACATCTCGCTCCGGCGAGCGAAGTCGATCCGGCGTCGTATTCCAGCATACTGGGGGTCTCGATGAGGGACGGAACTCGAGTGCGAGAAGCTCCGAAACGACGTCGGTCTGGGGGGCTTGGAGTCGGAAACGTAGGGTTTGGAAGGTCTAGTGTATGTGGAGAACCTTCTGGTAGGATTTCTGGAGGGATGTGAGGAGTGGATGAAGGACGGTGATGGGAAGAACCAGTCTCTGCTGGTGGAAGGAGACGGTGAATCAGCGTCAAGGGACATGGTTGGAATTAATCGAGATGTTGAGGGTTTGTGTGAGAACTGAGAAGTGCCACTTTTTGGACCGTATATGGGCTTCAATTTATGTACCAAACTCTGGGTTTTGACCTGTGATTGTATTAGAATAATGATTGGGTGTTATGAGTCTGATGAGTGATGTGTGATATGATAGCGAAATGTATTAATATATATATATATATATATATATAAGTGAAATATAACCGAGCGGTGTTTGATTGAAAATTAAGTACTCAATATTTGAATTTTAAGTTGGAAAGTTTTTAAGTGGTAATCAACATTTTAGTGATAAGTAGTATTTAAATTGTGTTATCAACGTAAAGTGCATAAAGAATTGTTGGAATTGCTAGGAATTGAATTCGGAAATCGGTGCTTCAGTTTCGGTTCTTAACAATTTCATTTCAGTTCCAAATATTTGGAATTGGAATTGAAACCGAAACCGCACTAATAATTGTATACACATTATTTTTTAATTATATAATTACTAATATATATTAATATTTACCATATATGTATATATATATATAAGTATGGTAATCGATGCTTGTTGTGGTCCAAGGTATTGCCTTAGTTAAGGTATTGTTTAAAAAAAATAATAATAATCTAAAAAAAGGAAATTAGAATCCTTTCGGTTCCAGTTCAGATTTTAATTTCTAGGAACTGATGGGGACGGTTTCGATTTTGATTTATATTCCGTTAGAAATCATACCAAATCGGACCATATGCACCCCTATTCAAATATACTTAATTCGTTCACAATTAAACACTAAATTAAGAAACAACACCAAGTTAAAAGTTTCTTGTTATTATTTAAAAATAAAAATAAAAACTAAATTAATGCTTAATACAATTGAGTGAAATCAATCACTGTGTGTAAATAATGGGAGAGTATATATCAAAATTGTCCCTTTTGGTATTTCAATTAACAAGGATCGTGAACGCCATCTTTTAGTCCAACAGTTGGGTTGCACCCATCATTTTTTGAAGCACGATTTCGAGCTATCTACACCTCTAACTTTTAATTTAACATTCTTGTCTTGAAAAAAAATATATAATAATAATAATAACAAGGATCTCGTAAAATTTCATTTGGAGATATTAATGTGTATGAAATGGAACAATTTTAGTTTTAATAAAAGATTGGTCATTAAAATTTAGATTTTAAAATCATGAAAGTGTTAATTTAGAAGTGCGAAAGACATTTTTCAGAATGATCGTGTTCACTGACGGACCCATGAATTTTTTTTAGGGGGGTGCCGTTGAAGAATTTAAAAAAAAAAAAAAAATTGTAGACAACTTTTAAGAAAATTTTGTGAAGTGAGGCATTTTACAAAATTGAGTGGGGTTAATTTTGAAATTTTAACTTAAACTTCAGGTAATAATATAAATTAGAAAAAATCTAGTGGAGAAATCAATGAAGTAAAAATATGAAGGGTGGGCATTTTAAAATTTTGAGTGGGGCATTTTTGAAATTTTAATGAAATTATAAAATAAAAAAAAATTAAAAAATCAGTGGGGTACCAACGAAATTTTTAAATAAAACAATCTATTAATTTTCACTTTTATGAAAAATTACATAAAGTCAAATTTGTTGTGGAATGTAAATTTTCATTATATGTTGATCATGGCAAGGGACACTTGAATATGTGGAAGTCAAATTCGATTAGCAATGCATCCCTAAGTTGTGTGATCACTGTAGAAGATATGGTCACTCCAAACAATGATGAAGGTTAATCCGTTCATAAGTAAATGAAACTAACAATGCTTGCCATGATCAAGATGAAAGTTCAAAGCAACAATCAATTTCTCGAAATGTAGTACATATTATGAGTATTAGACTCCGATTGTTTGGATTTAAAATATATTTTTATTTTATGATGTTCTGTTTGTAAGAAATATTTTATACAAATAAACTTATGGATCCAAAGCATAAATTCAATTAGGTGACATACCCGATATGAAAACTCTATTAAAGAGAATTACAATGTTCTGGACATATTCTGATTGGAGACGACCTTTAACCCTCTAATCTTCCCTCTGCGTACAGGATGATGGATTCCAGAATTTTAACACATATATATAGACGAGGGTTGGGACCATTCCATTATATATGAAGAGTTCTGTTGGTTCCATTAACCAATGCACCACTTCATATGTGACTATTCATGAGACTCCTTTAGGAATTAATATGATGTAATGCACATCAATTAAATATGGTGCAACCCCTCTTAAATATATGGATAGTTATTAATCTGTGTGAAATTAATGTTAGACTATTAATTTTGCTTAAATTCTCTTACTTAGTCTAACAATAATTAATTCCGATCACTTCAAGATCAAAATGATCATTGAGTGTACTACAAAAGTTAATCCATATATTTATAAGAAACACATCTACCATTCAATTTGTAGTACCTTCGAGTCTACTAATATGGGATCAAAGACGTCATTATATCATCAATGATATAAGACACCAATGGTCACTTATACTAACAAACTCAACTCCAACGTCACATATATTTTGTATGTGCATCTATTCAATACAATATTCATGCCATGCATCGGTCATACCGTGTCTCAATAAGAACACACCTTGTCTCAAAACTGGACATTTAAGTCACAAATTTTCCATACACATGCACTAATATGAAAAATTTAGTAAATAAGGATAATAACTGTGATCACAAAATAAAATTGTCTTTACCTGAGCCAAATGCAACCTCCCAATAACTAAGTAAATTAATGTTGTCAAATAGAAATCAATGTGTTCAATTAAACACTAGCTGGTTCTGTATCATCTATTTCACAATAATTTTGTTTTTTCCTCGAATCATATTTTCAATTCAGTACATGCATATAAATCATCTTACCATACAAATATAAAATTTTTATTTACTTACCAAAAATATGTGAGACTTTCACATGTACATGCATATACAGTTACATTCTCTAAGCATATATATTAATTATCCGTAAACATTATAAATCAAAAACAGTGTTTCGTACTCAACCCATGAATCTATGCAAGTGTCGTACGGTTTTTTATTCAATATACCCATGTACTGTAACTTGCTATTTGAATTACTTTCCATATTTTACTATTGTGCATGACTCCACTAATTTAGATCTTTCATTCATTTAAATATTTGTTCAATGAAAGAATCGTTGCATCGGGGTTTACTGAGATAAACCAAATGGTGTATATATACATTATTTTCATACCCCTAAAACAAAATTTTAATGGCAATTTGTTTAAGTACTGTTTCACAATATATATATATATATATATATATATATATATGTTACATTGCAGTGAAAGATGAGAGAGAGAATGCTTGTGCGTAATACACAGAACACAACATTGTGAAAGATGAGAGAGAGAATGCTTGTGCGCAATACACAGAACACAACATTTAAAAGAACATATATATATATATGTATATGTATATGTATATTATCTCAGCTTTCCCAAATGGCGCAGTCTTTGTCCATAATGGAGTAATGTTCAGATATATGTATTTTGCATATATCTGAAATAGATCTTTAACAAATTATATCATGCATATTCATTATTATTTAATCAGCATAATTAAAATTGTGCCATACGTATACTTTTAATATAATTTGTATTCCCATTCCAAATGGTGTTCTATTTTATTTCAAATTCATAAACACACCAAGAATACAATATACTTAAAATATTCAGAATATGTGCATTAGAGTCCATGTTGGCTCTGATACCACATGTAAGAAATTTATAACATAAATAGAATTCAATTTTGGAGTCCGTTCGAGTCTATAAATATAGGATCAAGGCGTCATTATTTCATTAATGATATAAAATACCAATGGTCACTGATACTAATAAACTCAACTCCAAAGTCACATATATATAACATGTGAAAATATTTTATTAATTTTGGCCCAAAGGAAATATTATTATATGTTTTGTTGATCACATTCAGAGTTAATTGTTTTGAGACATTATTTAATTAACTCTGAAAAGTTTAGTTGACCCCCATCAATTAAACTGTAAATGTGTGGCCTTAATTATTCTCAAAGTCTGTGGGAGTAAAATTCATCTTTAGTGTTAAATGTGGATGACAGTGACATTATTGTACATGAGATTAAACAATTTAACTTCTCAAACATTTGAGATGAAGGTATTGGTGACACCTTTTTATTGGCATTAAGTTTCACCTAAATCAATCTTGTAAAATTCTTGGATTGTCACAAAGAACCTAATTAGATAAAGTTCTGAAAGTATTTGACATATAATACATTATTGTATTAAAATATGACCGTTAATACATTGTTTTGAAATAGAGGAATCAAAACTAGCTAGTGTCTGATTGAGCACATTGATTTATGATCGTTAATATCTTGTTGTGAAATAGAGGATACAGAACCAGCTAGTGTTTGATTGAGCACATTGATACCCAACAAAAGATTGTTGATCCCATAATTAAGGGTTTGCTTCTAATGTTGTCAAAGAGAAATATGCATGCTTACTATACAACATTAGCGGCAAACCCTTAATTATGGGATCAACAATCTTTTGTTGGGTATCAATGTGCTCAATCAGACACTAGCTGGTTCTGTATCCTCTATTTCATAACAAGGTATTAATGGTCATATTTTAGATCAACTTGAACTCTTGTTGTTTCTTTAATACAAGACTGTAGCGGTATTGACCTGAAGTCCAAAACTGATATTTTATAAAGTATGAAATGTGGCCTTATAACATGCAAATTAACACCGCTTCTATCACTTATCATAATAATAAAATAATACTTGAAGTTGGATTTGTATACTGTCCTAGCACCCATCAAAGTCAGTTTTCACCATTCCTAGAAAGATATGGCTCTTAATTATTTGCGGATATCTTATAAATTTCTTTACCGCGTACTATAGATCCAAACCAGAATCACTGTGATATCTGTTTAACTAGCAAATGCTATATTATTGTTAACCATATGCAAAATCTTAGCATACATTAGGTTCCCAAAGGCGTAAAAAATGCCTTTTACCTAATACTACTATAGATATTTTCTTGGTAATTAAATTACCAAATTTCTTAACTTTTACAATGGGTGCAATTCTACCTCTATAGTA